TTAATAATCATAATGCAATTAACCGTCCAAAAAAAAATATTTATTATTATTAAAAAAGAAGAATGGAGAAAGCTGAAAGCACTCCCGTCAGAGACGCAACCTTCAGCCAATCAATCATCCACCGCCTTGTCAATGACAGCTGTACATTAAACACGTGGCATGATTCGGGACCCATCATTTCCAGCACAGGCCTCCATTATATTGGGCCTTTGTCGTTTAGTACTTACTTATGAAGGGCCCGTATTAGACAAATGGCCCGTTTGACACTATTGACTTCTCCTTTGGGTTAATTGTTCGGGCCAGACACTAATGGATATTGGCAGTGTTTCTCAAATGATAAGCCCAAATTTATTTATTATACTATTTCTATTTTTTTAATATTTTTATTTTAGTGTTTTATATAAATTAATGATTTATAATTTAGAATTGGAATTTAGCTTCCAGAATTGAGAGGAGGAAGAAAAGGATATTTCGGGGGTATTAATTGAAAATTGAAAATTGAAATAATATAAGACGATTAATTAAAAGGTGAGATGAACGTTGCTGTAATATCTATGTCAAATCCTTTTTTAAAATAGAAAAATAATCCAATAGTCAGTTCGAAATCGCCGTCGCGGTGGTCAGATTCTCAGCAACCGCCGCCTCTTCCATCCGTGAAATGGATTGAATTCGTCGGAATATTATCGTAAATTCTGTAGGGGTGTTTAGAGGAAGAGGAGAAGGAAACCGAGCGCGACGGCGCGTGGCTTGGAGATAAGACGATGATAACGCGATCGAATTTGGCGGAGCAGCTGAGGGAGTATCAGATTCGATCTAAACACGATTGGGCTTCCGTCTCCTTTTTCTCCTCCACCTCCAATCTCACCTCTTCCAGGTATTTCCTTCGTCCTTTTTTAAATTGTTTTAGAAAGCTTCTTTGTATGTTCTGTGGCGATTTAATCATCGCAATTTCTCTAGGTTCGTTTTTTTTTTTTTTTTTTATTAAAAAAATTGGGAACGGATTTCGCGATTTAGGGTGATTTATTCAGAAATTTCGATTTTTTGGAAGCTACGTATTTGGGACATTTTTTTTGTTTCTGTTGGAAATTAAAGTACTAAAGCAGTGTTTATACAATTTGGAAACAATAATTCTATCTGAATTTCGATACAAATTGGTCGATTTTAAAAGAATTTGACTTATTACAAGATGTGTGCACAAATGTTGATAATGAGAAGATTCTCGAAATGTCAAATAAAGTGGACATTTTCGAATTGCTGTGTTACTCTCTGAGTTGTTTGTCGAATTTACGAGTGGATCATTAAGCACGCTGAATATTGGTTTTCATGGATTCATATATGTTTAGGATGGATCTGATTTATTCTTCAGGAGCTGTATATAAGAACTTTAACTGCCGAATTGTTTTCCCTTTTCTTCTGCCAAAAATATGGTGATGTATATAAAAAACTGACACGAGTTTCCCACATCAACAACGTCAACTTTTATCTTTGGCTATAGAAGATTCAAACTATATACATGAGGCAAGTATAGCCAAGAAGAAAAAGATCAAACTTTGGCTCGCAGCCGTTAAGAGAAATGTTTCGAGAGTAAAAACAACAAACTGATCATCATCTTCTATCCTGTTAAACTACTACGTTCATATTCTCGAAATGACCCACTATAGAATCT